TAATTCATCAAAAATATTTTAATTTTTTCATTATTTTTTTAAATATTTTAAATATCATAACTTCTTAATTTTTTCTCTCTCTTATTAAATACTGTAATTAGAAGTGTATTCCAAACTTATACGAAATTTAAAAATGTCCGGGTACACATCTGACATTCGTCGAACACACACACTCTCAGCAAAAGAAATTATCCGTTTTTCATATGACCGGCCTTCGTATTACCGCCTAATGATGCTAAATATGACAAAACTAACTAAAATGAATATCTAACAAGAAAATTTAACAAAGATAAAAAGAGAGAAACACTCCAATGACGAAAATGCAGCTATCATATATATGTTTTGACATTCTTGTGTTTTGAAAGGATAATGCAATGAACAATGGTATTCCCTCCATATAAATACCCTACACCTAGTTAGGAAATTTTGCACCACATCAAAAGGAAGAGGCGGAGAAAGGGTAAAAATGAGGAAGCAAGTTTGTTCAAGCATTTTTCTTCTAATTTGCTTTCTTTTTCTTTGTTTATGTGTTGAAGCTCAAACCTGTACGTCCAGTGGCAAGATAATAGGGAAAAAGCCTCCACCAGGAAAATGCAACCAAGAGGATGAGTGCTGTGTAGAGGGCAAGCCATATACAATTTACAAGTGTTCACCTCCGGTTTCAGGGCATACAAAGGCAACGTTGACCCTTAACAGCTTTGAAGCAGGTGGGGATGGTGGTGCACCATCTGAATGCGACAATCAATACCATTCCAATGATGAACCTCTGGTGGCACTTTCAACAGGATGGTACAGCAAGGGGAGCAGGTGTTTGAAGTCCATTAACATCCATGGAAATGGAAAGACAGTCAGTGCCAAAGTGGTTGATGAATGTGACTCTAAAGTGGGATGTGATGCTGACCATGCTTACCAGCCTCCATGCCGTAACAACATTGTTGATGCATCAAAGGCAGTTTGGAAAGCCTTAGGAGTGCCGAAAAATGATTGGGGAGAAATGGATATATACTGGTCTGAGTGATTTCCTCCATATTTTAACTTATAGTGTCTACTAGTCTTTGGAATAAAAGGTTTATTTCTTCTATCATTAATGTGCTTTGTGTTCAGTTGTTTGTATTTGAAGCAATCATCTTATGTAGTCATCTTTCATAAATAAATAAATAATCTCTTAATTTTGTGAAAATTTGATATGTGAGTCTCAATAGACAAAATTTGTCCATTTTTATAGGATGAGTTTTGTTACAAAATTCAAGAAGAAGAAGAATAATAATTGTGGAGAATTGACCGAATTCAATTAAACAAAAACAAGTGATGTGCAAGAGCAAAGAATTGGAAGGGCTAGGAATAAAGAACCTTAGGCTATTCAATATAGTATTATTAGGAAAATGGTAGGGTAGACTTGCAAATATGACTGAGGGTTATGGGTCAAAGTCCTGAGAGCCAAACACAATAGGGGGGAGAGAAATTGGGGAAGTTGGAGGAGAGAGGGAAGTGAGGGTGGATCACGATGGTGGAGAGACATCAGTAGCATAAATTGGATGCTAGATGGACAAGGGGGTTGGCTTAATGAGGGGCTTAAAATCAAATTAGGGGATGGTGCAAATATATTTTTTTGGCTTGATAGGTGGACTGGAGATGACAGCTTGAGGGACTTGTTCTGAAAACTTTTTTCTTTGTGTACAGATAAATGGAGCTCTGTGCAACATATGGGCCACTGGAATGGAAACCTATGGAGTTGGAATTTATGTTGGAGGAGGGAACTGATCTCATGGGAGGAAAACCGAGTGGAACACCTACATCAGATACTAAGCTATAAACAACCACAGATAGCAAAGGAGGATAGCTGGAGTTGGATTCATGAAAAAAATGGACACTACTCTGCAAGATCAGCCTATAAGTTACTCTTATCATGTGAGACAAACAACTGTGTAAAAATTCTCAAGAAATGTTGGAACAAGATGGTGCCAAACAAAGTCTGCTCCTTCACTTGGCTACTACTGCAGAACCGAATCCCAAGTAAAGAAAACCTGCTGAGAAGGAAAGCAATCAAGGAAGCTATGGAGGCAAAGTGCGTGTTCTGTGATTATAAGATTGAAGATGCAGATCACTTAATGATGAAGTGTGATTTCTCCTATAAAATATCGTCCAAATGCTTTGAATGGTGGGGCATTTGTTATGTTTTACACAACAATTGTAGAGAAGCCTTCATTCAACATTTGTGGGCGGCAAAGAACAAAAAAGGATGGCAAGTAGTCAGGATGGCAAGCAGTCTGGTATGCAACTGTTTGGTCAATCTGGCTAGCAAGGAATGACGCTATTTATGGAGAAGGTAGAGCAACAGAAGAGAGCATGCTCAAGATGATTCAATGTCATTCTTATTTTTGGTTAAGTGGAAAGTCTGAAAAGTGGCCCTACTCCTTCCTTGACTGGTGCCAAAACCCAAATAGATGCATAGATGCAAAATGTGGTAAGCACTTTTAAACAAAACCCTGTGGTGTGTTCGAAGTCTATTCAGGGTGGTAGAAAAGAGAAGGACGTGAATGCATAAGAATAGGAGTTTTGGTTTTAAATGAACATTTTTTAAAAGTTGAGGAACTAAATTGCGAGAAAGGTGTCATCTTGTGGACCTAAATGAATGACTCTTGAGTTTTGGGATCAAAATGCTCATTGTAAAAATATGGAGGGCCAAATGTGCTATTCTACCATTGAAGAAATTGCAAAAGAGGACAAAACCCGACGCGGGTGTCGTGTCGACACATAAGTTTGGTGTCGACACCATACCATAAGCATCCAAAATCATAGCTTCTGTTTTCTGTTTTGTGCCGACAGGGTGCAGTTTGAAATTTTTTAACAACTTGAGAGTGTTCTTGTATTAATACATTGGGAAGAGTTATTCGACTCTAGTAAATTTATGCTTTTTATGTTAAGATATTTATGAATTTGGAATACTCTTTGTATTTTGTTTTTTTAATAAATGTTACTTTTTACTGTTTTAAAAAAAACAAACAAAAACAAAAACAAGTGATGAGGATACAACGATGAGGATGATAAGATGAAGATGCTGCTTAATTATCCAAAAGAAAATAAGCTATAAATAAGCTTTATAACAATCCTAGTTAAATTAAACATTAATAACTCACTAACCTAAATAATAGAAATACTAATCAATAAGCCAGTATAATGCCTTAACTCTACACAAACAAGTAAAAAATGTAAACTTCTTAAATACTAAGGATAATGGCTAAGAACTAGGAATTACTTTCCAACAAGTTTAAAAAAATTGAGAGGAAATTTATAGTTGGTATTGCATTAGGCTATTTTTAAGAGGGTTGTACATATAATTAGATTGAAGGCCCAAATCTGAGTTTGCACTTTGGCACTTGACATTAATTTCTTCGTGACACAATATTCCAAAAGTGAATTTACATTTTTCTTCCATTTAAAACTGTACATTTTTATTGTCGTATATGATTCAATCAAAGAAACATCTATGTTGTTGCCCACTATACAGCGTATGAAAAATTAATCCGCCTGGGTGCCTCTCTCTATGCCTTCACTGTCAAAAACCCTGAATTCTTTAACCCTGAGAATCCTGATGATTTCAATATGATGCCTTCCTCATATGGAACTCTCTCCTGCCTGATTATGAAAAATGTGGGGATCAAGGCATCAAGCAGATGCACCTAAGCTGTTTAATGAAATGCTAGTGAGAGATGCCATTTCATGAAAAATTTTCTACGAAGGAATTCAAGTTGATTAAAACATGTTGTTAACGATTCTTGAGGACTTTTGGCAAGGATACTACTTTGGCGTTGCGCGAGCAACTTCCCTCTTTAATTATCAAAAAGAAGATTTGATTGTAAGCCCTTCGTCAGCAAGGACTTATATATCAACATATACTTCAAGTGTGGAGATTTGTTGTAGGCAACCAAAGCCTTCCATCGTTGAACCCAATATCATGGAACACCACGATCGAAGCTTTTGCTTCATGTCATGGGGATGGCTCTAAAGCTCTATAATTATATAAAGAGATGGTATTAATTAGAAGGTGTGAACAGTCGATTCATGTTACATTTCTCTCCTTGCTCCATGCATGTAGCAATGTTGGCCTTGTTGAAAAGGGCATGCAGTTCCTGAGATCCATGATTAAAGTTCATGGAATTTATCCCAGGATAGAGCACTATGCCTGTCTTGTTGACATATATATATGTGAGGCCGGTAGGTCTCCTCAATGAAACCTAGAGTTTTATTGCAAGATTTCCAGTGATTCTGAAATTGGGAAATTTGCGGCTGATAATTGCTTTTGGCAGAACCAGAGAGCCCATTGGCGTAAGTTTTTATGGCCAACATATGTTCTTTGTCAGGCAAATGGAAAGACCCAGCAAGGACTATCAAGAGAAAGAAGGAAATGCGGGTTGGTGAAAGAAATTGGTGTAGACCTTGTGGAAGATGGCAGGTTTTTATTCACTACCTTTCACACTTTTTGTCTAGAATTGAATAAATTGGTATATTTTATTGCCCAATCTCTCCCATGTTGTACGCAAGGCCTGTAGAACAAATCTCCATAGAACCTCAACTTCAATAAGAAAAACCAGAAGGAATTATGAAAGCACTTTTAGTTAGTGTCGTTTGTGGGCAAAAACTTACTTTTAACATTTTATTTTACTAGATTTGTAAGTTTTAATCGCTTATCTTATATTATAACATTTTTAATCCCTCACTTATTAGAATTAAAGAAAATAACTCTTACTTGTAAAATTTTGTTAGTTTTATTAACTGACTGTTAACTCTATTAGTTGACTATTAATTAATTGTTAGCTGGAAAAAATATATTTTCAACTAATAGAGTTAACAGTCAGTTAATAGAATTATTATGTTAGTTGACTGTTAACTCTATTAATTGACTGTTAACTGATTGTTAGCTGATAAAAACTTACTTTCAACTAACAGAGTTAATAATCAGCTAATAAAGTTAATAGTTAGTTAATAAAACTAACGAAATATTATAAAATAAGGATTATTTTCTTCAATTTTAATAGGTAAAGGGTTAAAAGTGTCAAAAGATAAAATGAAGGGGTAAAACATATAAATCTAATAAGGTAAAGGGCTAAAAGTAAGTTTACCTAGTTAGTGAGGTTATCAGATTAAACTGATGATGTTCATATGGTTTGCTGCTTCTATTCCTGGGGGAATCTCTATTCTACCTCAAGTGTTAGATTATGCAATAGTAAGTCGGCTGTACTTTTGGTTATACTGTTTTGAAAAAATTGCACTGCAACTAAAAAAAATGTCGTTATTGTGTAGTATATATTCACTCTGCTCACCCTTACTCTTGATTTGATTTTTTAACTATTTAAGACGAAAATTAAAGTAAGAGTTTAATGAGAAAGTGAATATCAATTTATATTATAAAAATAAAAAATTTTAAAATTACGTTATTTTAATAAAATTTTATTAAAAATGATTAAAACATCTTAATTTTTAAAGTAAAAATGATGATAATTTAGTTTTTTTATAATATTTTATTAAAATGATGTATTTTTAAAATTCTTTTACTTAATTTTTTTGCATGTCTAACTTATAAATATTAATCTCAAAGTTTAATATAGTAAACGAATTCCAATTAAATTTTTTTTAATATTTAGTTTTTATTTAATAATTTTATTTAATTAAAAATTTTTAATTTTTATTTATATACTATATTAGATTTTTTCTTAAAATTTTTATTTTAAAAATTAAAAAAATTAAATTATAACCACGACTTGTTAAACAGAAAGTAATACGTAATCCCGTGGAACACACTAAAGAACAGAACAAATGGCTAAAAGTCATGAATAATTGGAGACATACAAGAAGGGAGAATTAAAAAAGAGGCTGTCCCGGGGCCGATCGGAAAGTTCATATCGGCGTATGGAATGGGGCGTGGAAAATCATGTTAGGTTCCATCTACGAGCTGGTCGGGAAACTAATGGTCGGCGTCTCTAATGGGTCATGGAAATGGTAGAATAATGCCAGGCAAAGAAAAATGTAGTAGTAATATCAAGGCAACTAATTCTTTGTTGGTGGGTTATCCAATAAAATTGAAGTCCCAGTCCCAGTCTACACCATATTTTTCTAAAAAGAATTTTTAATTTTACTTTACAGAAAATATAAAATTAATAGATACTTGAA